GCTGGATGGAGCATGGATGTATCATTTGGAGTAAGATTTTTTAAAATAAAATATGTTGGAAACTTTATAAGGATATGCAATCTTATTTTAGGTGCTTGAACGTGCTATGGATCATTTTGAGAACTGTTATCGTATACCTAATATAAAAGTAGTCGGATGGTTATGTAAAACTAATACACCTTCAAATACAGCATTTCGTGGATTTGGAGCCCCTCAGGGGATGTTCGCTGGTGAACATATGATTCGTGATGTGGCACGAATTTTGGGAAAGGACTATGTAGATATAATGAAATTAAACTTCTATGAAACTGGTGATATCACGCACTATAACCAAAAATTGGACACGCTGCAAATTAATAGGTTTGTTCTACTATATATTATAATAGGTTTGTACATTAATTAGTAATAATTTAGTAACATTTTTACTAATATTTTTTGTTTTATAATAATTATTTATAATAATTAGCAAAAATGCTATTTTTACTAAACTATTACTAAGAAGTATTAATAAATATATACATATATATTTAAATACATACCGTATCCGTATTTACTTATTAAGTTACTTTTTGTAGATGTTTTGACGAATGTTTAGAGCAATCCAATTTTTATGAAAAACGAAAAAAGATACAAGAATTTAACAAAAGTAATCGCTGGAGAAAGCGTGGTATTAGTATTGTTCCCACAAAGTATGGAATATGATTTGGTATATTATATATAAATCAGGCTGGATGTTTAATAAATATATATGCAGATGGATCAGTCTTATTGGCACATGGTGGTGTAGAAATTGGACAAGGATTACATACAAAAATGATACAATGTACTGCAAAAGCTTTAGGTATACCGGCAGATTTTATTCACATATCCGAATTCGCAACAGATAAGGTTCCTAATGCAACACCTACCGCAGCTAGCGTTAGTTCTGATTTAAATGGTATGGCCATTATTGATGCTTGTGATAAATTAAATACAAGACTTAAAACTATTAAGGAAGCGCTACCCACAGCCACTTGGAAAGAATGGATAAATAAAGCATATTTTGATCGTATAAGTCTTTCAGCAACAGGGTTTTATAGAACGCCAGGCATGGGGTATGATTCTGTGCATAATCCAAATGCACGCAAATATAATTATTTCACAAACGGTGTGGGTGTAACTGTAGTAGAAATAGATTGTCTAACTGGGGATCATCAGGTTTTGAGCACTGATATTGTCATGGACCTTGGCTCCAGCATTAATCCCGCTATTGATATTGGACAAATAGAAGGGGCTTATATGCAGGGATATGGTTTATTTACTTTAGAAGAGCTAATATATTCACCACAAGGTATATTATTATCAAGAGGTCCAAGCACATATAAAATTGCAGGTTTTGGTAATATACCAGCTGAGTTTAATGTGAGTCTGCTTACTGGTGCACCGAATCCAAGAGCTGTGTACTCATCGAAGGTAGTAATTATAAGTATAGTATAATTATTTTGATCCTGTATAATATTTGTTCATAGGCTGTGGGTGAACCGCCGTTATTTATAGGTGCTGCAGCTTACTTTGCTATTAAGAATGCTATTTCTCATGCACGTACAGAACGAGGTCTGAGCACAGACTTCACACTTAACGCCCCCGCAACAGCAGCAAAAATTAGGATGGCTTGCGAAGACAATTTTACAAAATTGGTATGGATGTCAAAAATGCTTTTAGTTCATGTGCGATATATGCAATATATGTATATCTTTTCTTCTTTCAGATTGATGAACCCTTACCTGGTACATATACACCATGGAATGTTGAATTATAAAGATCTACATATGGATTAGGATTTATTTAGAAATAAGACAAGATTTTAATGCTGTTTTGTTATTATTTATGTCACTGTCATGTGAAAGTGGGAGTACTTGTTGAGTTTATATTATCGGTAAAAGTGTTAACATATATGAATAAAGATAAGGTGTTGGCTTGTTTAGTAAAATTTTGAAGACTACTTTCTTATTAGAATTGTAGATTAAATTAAAAGCTTAGATAGATTTTCTTATTTCATTAGTTAAAGGTGCCGTAGACATATGTTATATTTACTTTAACATTTAAAGAACTCTTACTTTAAATTATTTTTAACATCATTATAATTTCTAGTATTTGATTCTAGATTAATTTATTTCTAAATTAAGAGTAGTATTCAAATTTATAAATAAGCATGATTACTTACTTATACTAATTGAAATTCCAATTATTGCAGAAAGCATATAGACTATGCATACGGTAGGATCTCTTTAATTCGAATCCCAAGGTACTAGCAAAACTGTTCGATTTATAGAACTATTGGCGATTTAGATAGATCAGGGAAAATGTTTATATAGTTTATTACATATCTATTTTCTTACATATGTAGGCATGCGTTTTATAATTACATTCTCCGAAACCCAACAAAATCCATTACTCAAATTAAACAGAAATTTCGATGTTCAAAGATTCGCTTCAGAATGTGGAGGTAAAGGATGGTGAAAATCGATACTAATTATATTAAATAGGGTTTATGATTTGAATTGTAGAGGTAAGGGATGTCCAAAATCGATACGAGCTATGCTGTAGGTTTATAATTCGAATTTTAGATGTTTTCAATTTAAAACTTAAGAGAACGAAGAATTGCGATAAATTAATGAAATTCTGAATTATGGACGAACTACTGTGTATGAAATTAAAGTGGAACAGGTTTGAATACACTTTACACACTGCGAGGTGTAGTATATAATGTTTAAACTTTTTTTGTAAAAGTGAGATGCTTTTTCAAATGAGAAAACTGAGAACTTTGAGAAAACTGTACTGGTCCATTCAAGTATAAAGGAGTCTATCTCTTAAGTCCGTAAAACTGATAATGTCCCTAAATTTAAAGTACGACAGCTCTGACAGATCAGATTTTGAAACTGATGAAGTTTGAATGCATTTCGCAGAGTCAAATATAGGCACTTAAATGTAAGGTGAAGTCCAGTTAATGTGAGAACTGCAGATCTTCTCATAAATACATACCCTTTTAACAAAAAAGATATATAATTAAATAATAAAATAGTATGTATAAAGAAATATAACATGTTTGCCATTTTGCTCAAATTAAATGAACTGAAGGCGTTTCAGTTGTGAGTAGTCAGTGTTTCTTGTCTCGATGTTAGCGATGACACTTCAAAAGATAACTAGGCTTTGCAGCAATGGGATTATGGAATTTCGTTCGAAGCAATAGCTTTAAGTTGAGCGTTAAAGCAGACATTTTTGATTGATATCGTATAAAGATTTACAGAGCTTTAATCTGAATAGGCAATTGGCTTGATTTGGCTTCAAAAGCAGTAAATATTGTTACTGATTGATAAAGGGTGTAAAGAGATAATTTGCAAGTAAATGTCAAGAGAGCGTGCTGGATTACCTTCCTGTTTGTTAAACAAACGCAAATGGGTATTGAATGCCTATCTGGTCTCGGAAATAGACGAATCCTCTTTCGTACTAGAGGATTTTTGCTTTCATGAAGGTTTATAAAAATTTTGAATATTAAATTAATAAGTAAGAAATAAAAGATGTTAGCGTTACCTTTGCCGAAGCAAAAGTACCCTTTACACAGAATCTACATTGAGGCCTCATTTATAAAATAGTTTATATATATTATAATGTGTAGTGACATATATATTTAAGGAATATAATATATAAAAGTGTTAATAAAAGTTCTTATACATTTTTGTTTACGCTTATATTTCGTTTATTTCAAATTTGAAGGAGCTTTTGGTATGGAGGAGAGTGCACATAATATAGCACCTATGCATGGTGCTATTTATACTATTTATTCTCAAAAGGTAGACAGACAGATAACAGCAGTTATAATATTTAAATGAAATTTGGCACAGCTTTATTAACTTTAAATTAGAAGTGAATTAATTGAAAAATAAAAAAGTTTTTCTGAAAAAAACAAGTTCCTAAATTGCTAATTTATACACGAGTTATATCTCAATCTAAATCTAAATCCATCAACTCTTTTTTTATCACATAAGTTTCATTTTATAAATGTTTCATAACTTTCAAATTTGTATTTGTAAAGTACATGCATGAGAAAATCAAAAATTTTTTAACCAAAAAGTTTAATGGAAACATATATTCACATATCTGAACCGACAATTTATGTGGCAGTTAACCTGAACTGATATGGATAAAATTACATATTTTTATATGAGCATGAGCACATTCTCTACCAAATTGTATATGAATATCTTCGTTAAAATGGGGAAAAACTTATATTAGATTGTTCAGTTTATGTGGCAACTATAGGTTATAGTGGTCTGATTTCAGGCAAGCTGACAAACAATTAAGGTTCAATCCTGAAAAGAATGTGTGTACAGTTTAATTGGAATAGCACAAAACTAAAGAACTGGATTGCACTAAAACACTCAGATCGAGCTAAGCTGATCAAGTATCTACGTTCATCCCTTGATTATTGATATGCAGATGATTTTCTATTAACAAATTGGTAGAAAGATAAGTTTAAAGTCTATTGTATAAGAATGTTATTTATAAGGTAAATAATTTTGGTGGCATAGTGATTTATATGATTGCTTGTTTTTAGGTTCATCTTTCTTCGACACTTTATACCAAGTTTAATATTAAAAATGTACCTCCTCTCTTTTGATTTATGTGTGTTCCTTGAATCAAGGAATTATCTCCCATATTTATGCCAGTTAAGTCGGAAATACAATGTGTTTATAGATATAAAGAGTAATATTCAATCAATATGTGTTTATAAGGAGATAAGTTACTGACGAATAAATTTGTATTCACATTTTCAGTTGCTTCTTAAGACTTGAATATTATAGCGCACTATTAGGGCGATCCAACCCGAATATAAAGCTGCCTATTTGGTATTCAACTGAGAGACAATTGTCATACTGATAAGATTTTCGTCGCTCTACAAAACAAGTTCTTCAACCGTTATTATGTATCTACATAGTTATAACGTTTTGGGAGGTCTAAGGCGCTGGTTGCATGAATCGCGTGAATCGTGTGAAGATTACAACTGAAAGTGTAAAAGTGAAATAAAGAGGCATGTATTGTACAAAAATATACGAAAGAATAATTTCCTAATATAATTCAGTTTCTATGGTGCTTATCAATTATCAACAACAATTAAAAAACAATTTATATTAGTGCGGAAATTTTTTAACACAAAAATAGAAAATAATAAATAGAGAATAAATTATAGAATTTTAGTCAAAAACAAAAAAAAAATTGAAAATGGATCAAAAGATTGAATCGAGTGACTTAAGCACTGGGAAGAATGTGAGAACAAAAACATCATCGGTGCTAATATTTTTTGTAAATGGAAAAAAGGTAAATTATTCATGGAATCAAAAATATTATTCCCTTAACAATTGAGATCACCTTACCCCTTTTTTGTAAATAATATTATGGTAATATACTTGAAATCATTCATTGAAACAAAACTCAAAATGAAACTGGTTACCTATTAATGAATATTCAACACATAAAATAAAATTGAGAAAATATTTGAATACAAAAATATTTATAGAATTTAATTCTACGAATTCTTCGAATTTGAATTTAACATCAAAAATATCTAATCAAACAAGCCATACGAATTGATATAGCATTGAGATCACATATGTTATGTATGTAGTTTTAATTGCAGACAATAAGTGAACTGATAATGATTTATATTTTAAATAAAGTTACAATAATAAAATAAAATTTTTTTATTTAATATATATACAATATCAACCAATATAAATCTATAAAATAAGTGATCTGTTGGAAAGTTCAAAAAGGTTAAGTGGTCTACCTGCTAACGCTGTGAAGGTGATTGATTGTGAGACTTCAAACAACAATAATAAATAATAACAACTTATAGCAAATAATAAAGGGTGTGAGGTTGTCGTAAATGCTATCAATAATGTATTATGGTAAAGAATATGGATATTCCTAATAGATGCAGTAAGAACTTATTTTAAATGGATTGGAAAAGTAGAAATAATTTGTGAATATTGGAACACATATGATAATAATGAATATAACGTATTATAAACATATGTATTACATATATACTATATGTATAAATGAATTACATATATATTGTGTGTAAATATTTATTGCATATATATGATATGTGTACATATATTACATATTTATTACATGTATATATGTATTATATATATATTATAAGTAGGTATATATGAATTACATATATATATTATATATATAATCGCTTTAACAAGTTATAATAATCCATAAACTAATGTATTCAATTATTTTAATAAGCACCCTGTAATAATTATAGGTACGCCTTATTGCGATTAATAAGAGATGCATTGAATTTCAACCTATTGACCTATTAATAATTTGCTCCATGTGTGGTTGATATTTTTTATGAATGTGTTTCATCATCTCTCACATTTCTATGTACAATAACAAAATACTGATAAGAATTTTTCAAGATGTTAATACGGAGAATATATTGCTTTTAAAATTTTGAAAATAATATTTTATATTCAGAGAACACTTAATAATCAGAATAAACCATCAAAATATTACGCAGCGCTAGATTATTTTACTAGTACGGGAAGTTTGCTGAACTCTGCTGAATTCTGCTGAATTCAGTATATGTTCATTAACTGCAATCTGAGATTAGATTTTAGAACTCCCACAAATGCTAAACAAAATCTACATAGTTTTGTGTAGTTATCCTTATCAGTTGGTATCATAATACTTATCAGTGTAATACTTATGAATTATATAAACTCACTAATGGACGTTCCAGTGCCATTTTCTTATCTTCACTGAGTTGTTGACACTTTAATTGGGTATGGAAAAGAAATATTGCATATATAAGCCGTCTAAGACTTTCTATAGTGGTATATTTTTAAAAAGTATTGAAAAAAACACTTACAATTACTTAATATATATTTGCAGGTAATTGACGCCAATCCAGATCCTGAGTGTACACTTCTTACTTATCTACGTGATAAACTGTTTTTATGTGGTACGAAATTAGGTTGCGGAGAAGGAGGATGTGGTGCATGTACCGTTATGATATCACGCATTGATCGAAACACAAATGAGATTCGACATTTGGCAGTCAATGCCTGTCTTACGCCAGTATGCGCAATGCACGGTTATGCCGTAACTACTGTTGAAGGTATCGGTAGTACGAGAACACGTCTTCATCCTGTACAGGAACGAATAGCTAAAGCGCATGGCAGCCAATGTGGTTTCTGTACACCAGGTATTGTCATGTCAATGTACGCATTACTTCGCAGCTCACCACAGCCTACAATGAAGGATTTGGAAATTGCATTTCAAGGTAATCTTTGTCGTTGTACCGGTTATCGTCCAATTTTGGAAGGCTACAAAACATTTACTAAAGAATTTTCATGTGCAATGGGTGATAAATGCTGTAAAGTGAATGGGAACGGAGATGGAAATGGAAATAGTTGTAATGACAACAGTAGCAATAATGTTGATGATAAACTTTTTGAAAAAAGTAAATTTCTACCTTTTGATCCCAGCCAGGAACCTATTTTTCCACCCGAATTGCAGCTTAACACTGAATTTGATTCAAATAGTATAGTTTTTAAAAGCCCTCGTGTGACTTGGTATCGTCCAGTTGAGTTGGAAGAACTACTTCAAATCAAAGCACAAAATCCAAATGCGAAATTGGTGGTTGGCAATACTGAAGTGGGAGTCGAAGTCAAATTCAAACATTTACTTTATCCAGTACTGATTAATCCATCTAAAGTAAAGCAATTAAATGAAATAAAAGAACATGAAGACAGCATTTATTTTGGTGCTTCTGTTAGCTTAATGGACATTCAAAACTATTTACAAGATCTTATCACTAAACTTCCGGAATATCAAACTCGATTTTTCAAATGTGCTGTGGAGATGTTGCACTATTTTGCTGGTAAGCAGATTCGGAATGTTGCGTCATTAGGTGGTAATATTATGACTGGAAGTCCGATATCTGACATGAATCCGATTTTAACAGCTGGTACTGTTAAAATGCTTGTAGCAGGTATGGTGGATGGTCAACTAAAAACTCGATATGTGCACATGGGATCTGGATTTTTTACTGGTTATCGTAAAAATATTATTGCACCACATGAAGTTTTGATTGGAATTTATTTTCCGAAAACTTTACCAAATCAATATGTAATCGCCTTTAAGCAGGCACGCCGAAGGGATGATGATATTGCTATTGTCAATTCCGCCATAAATGTTTTTTTTAAACCCAACACAAATATTGTGGATCAGATTTTTATGGCATTCGGTGGAATGGCTCCAACAACCATTTTAGCACCACGAACATCTGAAATGATGATCAAACAAAATTGGGATCACGTGCTTGTAGAACGCGTCACTGAAAGTTTGTGTGCAGAGTTACCATTAGAACCTTCAGCTCCAGGAGGTATGATTGCTTACAGGCGATCTCTAGTAGTCAGTTTGTTTTACAAATCATATTTGGTCATAAGTCAAAAACTAGTAAGTGCCGGCATTATACCATATGACAGTATATCTGATGAGGAATGCAGTGGTGCAGAGACTTTCCACACACCTATATTAAAAAGTGCACAGTTATTTGAACGTGTCAGCTCCGAACAGTCTATATGTGATCCAATCGGTCGACCCAAAGTGCATGCTGCTGCAATGAAGCAAGCAACTGGTGAAGCCATGTATTGCGATGATATTCCACGTATGGAGAATGAGTTGTATTTAGCACTTGTACTTAGTACAAAAGCGCATGCAAAGATTCTTTCCATTGATGCAACAGAAGCATTGGCAATGGATGGAGTACAGGCATTTTATTCAAGTAAGGACTTAACAGAATATGAGAACGAAGTTGGTCCAGTTTTTCATGATGAAACTGTATTTGCTGCAAATGTGGTCTATTGTCAAGGGCAAGTTCTGGGTGCAATTGTTGCAAGTAATCAGTCCCTTGCACAACGTGCAGCTAGAAGTGTACATGTTATCTATGAGGATATATCACCGCTAATTGTAACCATTGAGCATGCTATTGAGCACAAATCCTATTTCCCAAACTATCCACGTTTTGTTGAAAAAGGAGATATAGGAACTGCTTTCAAAGATGCTGAACACATATTTGAAGGGAGTTGTCGGATGGGAGGACAAGAGCACTTTTATTTAGAAACACATGCCTGTGTTGCAATTCCACGAGATAGTGATGAAATTGAATTATTTTGTTCAACACAACATCCATCCGAAGTACAAAAGTTAGTTTCACATGTGCTATCTATTCCTGCTCATCGTGTAGTCTGCCGTTCGAAGCGGTTGGGAGGTGGATTCGGTGGAAAAGAATCACGTTCGATTTCGGTGGCATTACCGTGTGCCTTGGCCTGTTATAGATTACGAAGACCTGTACGGTGCATGTTAGATCGTGATGAAGATATGATGATCACAGGTACACGCCACCCATTTTTATTTAAATATAAATTAGGTTTCACAAGTGAGGGTCTAATAACTGCATGTTATATTGAATGTTACAATAACGCTGGTTGGTCTATGGATCTCTCTTTTTCGGTTAGTTAATACAAACACATAATATTTACTGTATATTGCAAACAATTGATTTTAAAATTTTACTTTTAAAGGTCTTGGAACGAGCTATGTATCACTTTGAAAACTGCTATAAAATTCCTAACATAAAAGTAGGTGGCTGGGTATGTAAAACGAATCTGCCCTCCAATACTGCATTTCGCGGTTTCGGTGGCCCACAAGGCATGTTTGCTGGCGAACATATAATAAGAGACGTGGCCCGAATAACTGGAAAGGATTTGTTAGATATAATGCGAATGAATTTTTATAAAAGTGGAGACATAACCCATTATAATCAAAAACTTGAAAATTTTCCAATTCAGAGGTTAGTTTCAGGTGGAAAGCTTACAAAGTAGTCTGATTTCGCAATTTTATACTTGCAGATGTTTCGATGAATGCCTCAAACAAGCAAACTTTTATATGAAACGCAAGGAAATAGAAGATTTCAATAAAAATAATCGCTGGAGAAAACGAGGTATCGCAGTTGTGCCCACTAAGTATGGCATTGCTTTTGGTGTGATGCACTTAAACCAAGGAGGAGCTCTAATTAATATATATGGAGATGGCTCTGTATTACTGTCACATGGTGGTGTAGAAATTGGACAAGGCTTGAACACTAAGATGATTCAGTGTGCGGCTAGAGCATTGGGTATACCAACAGAGTTAATACATATATCAGAAACGGCAACTGACAAAGTACCGAATACTTCACCTACAGCAGCTAGCGTTGGGTCTGATATAAATGGTATGGCAGTTCTTGATGCTTGCCAAAAACTGAATGAAAGACTAAAGCCAATCAAAGAAGCACTACCTAAAGCTGATTGGAAAGAATGGATTAATAAAGCATATTTTGATCGTATAAGTCTTTCAGCAACAGGGTTTTATAGTATGCCAGATATAGGTTATGATCCAATTAACAATCCTAATGCTCGAATGTACAATTATTACACAAATGGTGTGGGTATATCTGTAGTAGAAATAGACTGTCTAACTGGGGATCATCAGGTTTTGAGCACTGATATTGTCATGGACATTGGCTCCAGTATAAATCCAGCTATTGATATTGGACAAATTGAAGGAGCTTATATGCAGGGATATGGCTTATTTACTTTAGAAGAACTAATATATTCTCCACAAGGTACTTTATATTCGAGAGGTCCAGGAATGTATAAGTTACCAGGGTTTGCAGACATTCCAGCTGAATTTAATGTCAGTTTGCTTACTGGTGCACCAAATCCAAGAGCAGTATACTCGTCAAAGGTTAGAAATGAAATGTAATTTTTTTTGGATTTTTAATTATTTGGAAATAATTGTAGGCGGTTGGAGAACCACCACTTTTTATAGGAAGTGCTGCTTTCTTTGCGATTAAAGATGCTATAGCAGCTGCTCGTGCTGAGAAAGGATTCAGTACCAATTTTGAATTACATGCGCCTGCTACTTCTGCGAGGATACGTATGGCTTGCCGCGACAAATTTACAAATCTGGTAAAAAATATCTATAACGACTTGAAAATTTATTTCATGAGAATTTATTTTTCTTAATTAGATTGATGAACCACATGCAGACTCATTCACTCCGTGGAACATTGTACCCTAAAATTATGCAGAATTACGAATTTCTCTGGATTTACTAAAAGTACAATAAAAGTTCAATTATAGCAAATATTTAATATGTATTACTATATGTCCTGTATGTAAATAGAATCCCCGAAGCTAAGATGTTATTAACTATTTAAATAAATTCGATAAAAATTAAATGGCTTCTTTAATTCTGGCAATGACCATGACATGCCTTGGTGATAATAATTTAGTTAAATGGAGATCCTCATAGAATTTAAAAAGGTATATTTCTAATTTATATGTCGGTACCATCGGTGCTTAAACAAAATAATAGAAAAAATGGCGTATGAAAAATCATCTGGCGCTAAAAGCAATCTTAGGACAGTATTAGAATGTATTCCAATATGTGAAAGTACGACGGCCCAGCTTTTTGTAATTACACAAGCAGTGGCAAAATGACTGGACTAGACTTGCACTATGTATTCGTAGACTTCAAAAATGCTTTGGACAGCAGCGATAGAACAATAGGCAAAAAAGATTTTTTGATACAAGGCATTTCCATTGTTGATAATACTATAGGTAAGATAATCCATTTTAAGTATAGCAATGCAAAATGTACAATCTGAATCTACGGAGAATAGTCATCAACTGAAAAGAAAAAACAAAAAGTTAGGAAGAACGAAAGATTATTGTTGATTAATAGACTTTATAGTCTATTACGACATAATTGAATAATGATGAATCTGCAGATATTTTGTGACTCATGCTGAATATAGTATTATTATTATTTCCATACTCCATTAGGAGCTTAAGGAGTCTTTTAAAAGTTTTCCACTAGTTTCTATTTTATACTGTTGGTCTCAACTCGTTAAATGATTTACCCGTCTCCTGCTAAACTGTCTTTCTCCAGGTCGTTGCTGGTCTGGCTCTGCTTCTAGTCTCCTGAGATTCTAAGTAAGTGCAGCAGGCGCGATATCTTCATAAGGTCTACCTTATGAGGTAGTATGGTGTCTCATTCAACAATACTTCTTTCTTCTTATCTCGTTGCTTACGTTTGTTTGGTGCGTTATACACCATAGTTCTACATTTGAAATCGTTCTAAGCCACCAATGTTCACCACTGAAATCATATCGTTTACAAAAAGGAAAAAATCAGTCAAATTTTGAGTCCGCATCCTGCTGAAAATCTGCTGAATCGCATTGTGAGTAATAAAGTCGTTTTATGCTTCATTTTACCCAAAAAATGTGATTTGACTTCCAAAATCTGTAAGGAATCTTAATATAAGTAGTGAGATATATAAATACATGTTAATATAAGTAGATGTTAAACGTTTACATTTTAATATTATATTCTTTAAGAAATAAATTTCAACTATTTGAAATATTTTAACTGAGAATGAAGTAGTTCAAGTTTGGGTAACTTTGGTAAATATAATTGTTAAAATCACGGATATATAATCACAGTATATAAATATAAATTATATATAAATAATGACAAAATTTATTAATATAATTTTACTCTATTTTATTAACAATTTACTTTACATATAATTTATTTGTATGATTGAACAACAAATATTGCTGTTAAATAGTTATGGTATAGTATTTTATTAAACTAAAATATGTTATATATAAATTTAATTTTGACATCATTAAATATATTCCACTAATGAATCACGTATCTAACACAGACGGTTACAATTACATAATAACGATATATCTCTGAGATATAAAAATTTAAATTAAATTTACATTAAACACATTTTAAATCAGTTTTATAAATGTTTCTCGTGCGCAAAATGGAACTGCTAGGCAATTACTGAGTTCGGATCCCTGTTTTGAGTTGTTGGTTCAGGATTTGAATTTGGCGCCAAATTATTATAATCGTTTCTTAAGTTATCAACTCCGGGTAGTACATCATAGGGCTGGGCATTTCTGTAAAAATTATGTGTTCAATTTATAAAATAAATTGTTTTATATATATATACATATATATATGTATATATTATTATTTACTCTACTCATACCTAAGTTACAAAACCATAAAACATTATACATCAAATATGAATAATTTAAATCGCAAAAAAGTTACCTAATTAAGATATTGTGGACTTTTTATATACATATGTATATATATAAACAGTAAAAGTCTACTGATCCAGATCCATAAAAATTGGTTCTAATCTAAATTATTGAGACATTTGGATTTCAGTCATATTAAAACTCAAGGAAGGCTGCTAAATTTGTTTAAATATTTATTTTAACAACTGGAATTTGCTAAAAAAAAGAACAATAGTCTGCTGCCCATTAAATTAATCCATAACATAACTCATAAGGCTCTTACTCATAACTCTAAAACTATAGACGAGACATGTTCAAAGGAATTGATCTAAATAAGCGAATCAGTGGTCGATCCGGACTACAAAGTGTATAATGCATGTTTTGTATTTTCAAATTTTGTCCGGATTACGAGGAAGTCCAAATTACCGTAGATTTGGAGTAGCAAACAGCCATTATATATGTATGTTTATTTAATTTTATTGAAACTATGGGTTTAAAATGGGTTTCTTGCTTGTGTGACATCAAATCCGTTAACTGCACTCATAAATTTTTTTGTTCATTTATTTACTGACTGATTAGGTGTTTATTGACAAAAAAAGTTATTCAGGTGGATGCTTCACATTAAAAATGTCGCGAAACAATTATTAGTGCAATTTCAAAAAAAAAATTGAGATAGTTTAGTATAATAATACGATAAGCAGAATAATATCGCACAGGCATGTTATTGTTTATGCGTTTTAGTTCTAGAACAAGCATCGTCCTGTCATCGAAAAGGTCTATGAAATTATAATACAGTTGCAGAGGATCGATATATCAGCACGTTCATTACTAATCAATTAAACACCCACCAAAAAAGTTTTAATGTCGATGCTGAGCTTACATACTGTACTGTAAAATTTTGCCATAACTGTGATCCTACGTAAGAACACACTAATTATGTACTAGGAATGAAAATGCTAAAGTAAATAAATATCAATAAATACTAATTTACTTTATATCAAACGCCAACAAAGGATTTGGTTTATATGTATAAAACCAAATCAGCACTTACGAAATGTGATGAATTATTTAAATAAATAAATTTATAAAACATTAATAAAAATTAAATATTTGTTATAATGAGATTCACACGTGAAATCTAAGCTATGTTTAAATAAACAAAATATGAAGTGCTAAAGAAGAAGAAATGTAAGGAAAACAAACTAGTTTCTGACAGTTCATATTTCGTAATTTTCGCCGTAATAAAGCAAGAGGATATGTTCGAAATCAAAACAAGTCTAAGAGAAGAGTCAACAAATTATGGCATAATATTCGAACACAAATGACAAAAAAATGGCAATGCAAAATAAAAACAAATGCTAGCTACAAGGGAATGTGTGTGCGCTACGAAATAAAGATAAGGCAATATACCATGTATAAGCGGTGCTGTCACTTCTGTTTAGACTCGTCAAGATATTAAAAGTCCATAAAGCGGTATTTGTATCTTGTTTCTAAAATCTGCTAAAGGCGATATTCAGGTCTTTTCTCTGTTATAGATGTCATTATAACGACATAAATAATATCAGCAAATTTAATGTGAGAATAAACTAATTTTACTGAAGAAAGTATATAAACAAGATATAATTGTGTATCTTAGTTTAAATCTTATATATAAATGTGTTATATATATCATACTTTCTTCAATGACGGATACTTCATACTCATTTCAGTGAAGCATTATTTGATACACTCGTTGATTATCTATTTAATCTGAACAATTAAAATATATGAAAGTATTAGATGGGCAATAATATTGAATAATATTGAAAATGCAATTAAATTGCCTTTCACTTAAATAAATAACAAAACAATAACATACATACAATATTATAACCTTTAACGAAACAAGTTAATTTTTAAATTATATTAAAAAATAATATCATACAATTATTACTTAATACAAACTTATAATAACAAAAAATAGATTAAATTTTATTATTAGAAATTATAGTTTAATTATATACATCACAATATTAAAAAACAAAAATATTGGTAAAATAATATAAAAAAGTAATAATAAAAAAATACTTTTATTATCTACGGCTACACAATCAATTTAATTCTGGATGTTATCCTCTGAGTTTTTGGAGGATTGCGGTACCTCCGAATCTGTTGTAATGTTCGACATAGAAGTATCTTTGGCATGTCTGAAAATATTGTGCAAAATTTATAAACACACTGTCGCATTGGTACACAACACAAAATGTTGAATATAATTAATGATATATATACATATGTATGTACAAATGGTGATTGGGATGAAGATGCTGTGATCCAGTGACTTCTGAAGTAGGAACTGTACAAACGAAATAATTTTCATTACATGATAGTGATGAATCTTATGATCGAATGAATAATGCTCCACAAACAATGAAAACGTTATTAGAAATGTATGGTTGGTATGGTTGGTGTAGTATTATTAGTCAGTTTCGTATTTGGCCGCCAAATTGTAAGTAGCGTAAATGAAAAAACTTTTACTAAAAATGAAAAGCAAAATTTTAAGTGCAAAAAAAAAAATTAAAATAAAATTAAAAAAAGTTAATAAATTATAATGAAAAATATTAAAATACTAATATAGCTAGCTATCTATGCCATTTCCATTTACCTGTAGAAAACATAGTGTTGCAGCATGAAGAATATATCGAAAAGCACTGAGAACAGACCCAGTCCAAATTTGGTTGGATCACCAAATATAGACACCCAATCATCTGAAATAGTATTTACATTATCATAATGTATGCATTTAATTATTTAAGATGTTTGTTAATCGAACCATAATTATAGGCATTCAAAATCATTTGCAACATGCTAAGTGTACCACCAGTGAAGTCCAATAAAATATTTCCAATACTCCAACCAACTGTGCTCTTACGGCGATAATTCATAAGTGCCTTAAATAAACGAAACATTTATCAACACTTAATACCATTAAAATTATAGCAAATATTACTTGCGGCACATATTTGATTATGGTTATAGTCAGTTTAACATAACTGCAGTAGTACAGAAAATCTAACCAATGTATAACACTACCAGCAGCTAGACCCACAGATATAATGATGAATAATGCAAATATGCCTAATAGTCCGCTAGCTGTTTTTGAAACCCTTTGTTCTCCACGCTAATGGGTAATAAAATAAATAAATAAAATGCATAGTATATATAATATAATGTAATGCCGTACATATTGCAACGTTTCAAAATCAAGTCAACATATATAAATCTTAACTATTAATATAATGTATCACATATAATAAAGTTTAAAAAGTATAACTAATATTACAAAGAAGATCTATAGTTTTTGTAAAATAATAGTTTGCAAGGTTTTTCATACGACTATATTTTAGTATAAAATACCTCATATGCATAACACTGATATATTGTAATCAGTGTAGCTGCCATGGCATGTAGTGAAAATACTACATCATTCAGCATTACTGGATTGACACCTCGTGGATAACGGTTTGCATACTCGGCTTGTATCTCAGGTATCCAATACAAGCCACAATTAAATATACTGTACAACGTAAAGCCCACAATATTTAATATGACAAAATCAAAGTTAAGACCCACAACAGATTTACGTTTAAAATTAATATATATCTGCGGATAGAAGGAAATAGACCAAGCAACAAAATAAATCCAGCCAAATATTAGCGATGTATAGATTATAGCTTCTGAATTGGCGACCGTAACTCGTACAAACAGATCCGCAATACTAATAAAAAATATATGTATAAAATATATAAGATATATAACATATAAAGTACTTACAGTGACGTTTTATTAGGCACACTAACTGCTGTGATCTCTAAATGTCCTGGATGTAATCCTACAACAGTTATAGTCTGATCAATTTGTGGACTCGACGCACTTAAATCAAATTCAATTGGTTCAAGTTGTACTAAATTTTCATGTTGTCTTATCAAAGTAATTTTATGGTCTTCATCCAATGGTTCGCTATGGTTTTATTAACATGTAAAGATAATATAAAATAGATATAAAATTATGAACAAAAAAATATCAATATCATATAAGTAAGTAATTAAGTTAGATACGGAAAATGTTGTCATCGTCAGATATTTTACAAATTCGGGAGCAAATTAAATGGAGAGCAAAAAATTTAAGTTTGAGTGAATTTAAGTTTTTACGCCACGATTAAAAAAAAACTGCTTAACCTGCCTGAGGTACCATCTCAACCAGATCTGCCTGTTTGATATATTAAAGTGTCGTCTTGAAGGGTATAAGACTTCTACTTATATGCCTTGTGATTGCTAGGCATTACTTTCAATCCAATACTTTATTAATTAATTAATTTGTTTATTTGTTACATTTATTGTTTACTAATAACTCAAAAATGCGAAACCGTTTCCGTTTCATCCTCAACATATTTTCTTAAAGATCTTTTATTATTTCTCTACACACTTCTAGGTTTTATCAGAAGCGTTTGGCATCTCAAACAAAAATAATACGATTTATTAAGTAAGGTTAGATCGGAGATTCCACTAGCACCTATCTATCATAAATAGATTGCATCGGTTTTCTAGTCACTATCGTTTATGTAAATAGATCTAATAATCCTTAATATAGGAGGAGGTGTTCTTATTTCGTTTATGGGTAACATCTAGTTTTCAATAATTGGGAAGTAATGTTTTAATTGACTTATACTTTTCGGAGTTCATAAATTAATAATAATATTTACATGTGATACCTAATCACATCCATACTTACTTAGAATGTACAACAAATTCCTTAGTCTTGTTGACCAAAACAGTGAGGTCGTGAGTTGAAACTGTTAGTCTTTGGGTTGCCACAGTCTGCGCAAAAGTATATGGCACTAAAATGGAAAAATTATTTAACATTTTTTGTTTGAATTTGTTTTATATAAAATTATACTTACGTACTGAAAATGTTAATATAAAGCTAAAAAGCAATGTAGGTCTAAGTCCGCTACTGTGCTGTTGCATTTTGTCTTTCTTAACAACTTCTTTGCAAGTTGAATTTAAATCCTAATTCTTAATTCTTAATTGAAATAATATATATTATTTCTGATCACATTTGCTTTCTGTAAATAGGCAAAAATATTTCTATTGATTATTGATGCAAAACATGGAGAATTATAATAACATAATAATGATTGGACGTTTGGTTTCACGAGCAATAACCCGTCTGAATTTCAGTTAGGTTTTTCAGTTTTTTTTTCTTTTAACCAAAACAGACTTTACATTCAATATTGTCTATATATGTATTTATATTTATATTTGTATATTTACATATATAAACCTAAAATAAACAAAACAGTAAGAGTCAAGCCCCCAATTGTTTTGATTGCCTTAAATAACAACTGTTTTTGGTAAATCGGTTATAGACCTTATCTGCATTTAATCACTATTTAAAAAAAAGTTTAATTTGTCTTGTCATAAATTACTGATTATATATTTCTGATTTCTATATTTATTATATATATATAATTAATTATTATAGCGACCAATTTACATATATCCTAAAGATGGCTTAAGAATATAAATAGTTTATAAAACAAAATTAAAATATAAATAAAAATTTTTTATTTAAATTAATAAATATAATTTTTTTATCAATTTTATGTGTTAAACAGATGACATAAGCCCGATGAAAAATGAAAAATATGTTATGTATATTTTCAGAATCTTAATACACGATCTTCCTTGGCTACAGTTTTTAGTTCTCTTATATTTCAGTTATTTTAAGTAGACCGTTCTTCTGGGCGTACAGAATCGATGTCTTGTTGGAGTCCGCGTAAGGGGGTTTTCACTGTTATATCTAATAAGGCAAGAACTATGGGGTTTTAAAAATAATGAAACAATTTTGATAAATTTTTGAGGTTCTTGAACAACAAAAGTTAAAGAAGCACATGATGATGTATTGATATACCTACATAGTTCGTAACAGAAACCTTACGATGTCTAAAAGTTTGAGCCACAAATCGCCTGATTCTAAACCAATTTTGTTTTTTTTTTTTTAATGAAAGAAAACACAAGTGTTATAGTTTGAGAATACATACATATATATTGGCGAACGATAGTTCTTTGATTACAAACCAACAATAACACAGAGATAAAAATAACCTATTGCTGTGTTGACAAGTATAATTAAGTTAGTTCATTTGTTTAAGAATTATAAACAAATAAAGATGTTTTAATGGTAGTTAATGCTCGTAATAATCATAATAATAGATTCTTATTCAACATCGAAGTTTCTGAATGATATTATATATTGGATAGAGGTTGCCAATCATTAATTTTTACCTTCTGTCGCTTACTTCTTACAGTTCATCGATATCGTTGTAGTGCTTACATGGTGTGACTTTATCTATCTTCGAACATCATATTCTTCTGGTACTTAGTAGATTATTAACCAGAGCTCGTTTTGATTTTTACATAGTATAATATCAAAGTACTCAAATTTTTTCTTTAGTAGTTAAACTTTATATGTGATTTAGGTACATGTCTGTTTGAATCCAGAGCTCGTCACCTGAAGTTATAGTCACAGTTTGTTTTATATTGTTTCGGTTATGAGTCAAATCTCGTGGCCGTGATGAATACTCGCAGATGCGGATTATCTCGTACATGACGTGAACCAAATAAATTGATAATTTAATTATAATAAAATATTAAAAGTATGGAAAATGCATGAAAGCATTCATTCAAAATTTATCTCAATATTTTAAATATTATATATGTATATATAATTTTAAATTAATTAAAAATTAAATTTTATATATTTATTTTATTATTTAATTTTGTGTGATTTTTATGATACTTTCATGTAATATTAAGTACGAGAAAAAATAATTTACTAAGTTTAGACCCATACTTGATGTGGTGTGAAAAAAGATGAAAATGCAGTGAAAATATCTGATTATATTCAAATCGATGTTTTATTCTCTAAAAAATATTATGAAAAAAATTTAATAAAACCAAAAATAGACTGCATGTTTTTAGATAAAAAGGTGTTAGATATTAGAGCATCAATTTATTACTGTAATTTCAGTGACAGTACAGATTCTATAATATAAATCTAAGGAATATATGGAAATCGAGTCAAATATCTCTTAAAACAAAACTCCTCATCTTCGAATTAAATATAAAATCTGTGTTCTTCTATGGTTGTGAAACATGCAAAGGTTCCAATCGTATGGAGTCAAATATACAGACCTTCATAAACAAGCGCTTGCGCAGAATGCTTGGTATAAGAATAAAAGTATAAGAAATGAAGATATGTGGAGCCGTACATAGCAAGAAATCGTTCCAGTATAGATTGGTCGACGCAAATGGCGATGGATTAATCACACATTTCGAAGACCTGCAAACCATATTGCAAGAACGGCACTCAAATGGAACCTCCAAGGCTCTAAAAGGCCTGCCACACCAGCATAAACATGGCGCAGAACAATAGACAGAGAACTCCTAATGCAAATTATAAATGGAATGATATATGCCGCGAAGCACCCAATAGAGTTAGGTTTAGATCTATGAAAGAGGACCTATGCTTCACGAGAAGAAGAGGACAATAGTAAGTAAGTAATATAAATCTGCAAAACACTTAGAATATGTTTAAACCGCTGGCGAAAATTCATTTAAGACCAAAAACTACAAACCACGCAAAAAGCAAGAAGAAATCAAGAAAAATGTACATTGTCTGTTGCGCAAAGTTATGCTGAAATCGGTGTGGACATAAGTCATACAAGTTTGGTAAACTAAAAGTAACTCTATAAAGAAATATTATAGAGACACCAATTAAAAACATTTAGAAATAAAGTCAAAGATCCAAATTATGTATTCGTTTTCCTTTTGTAACAGAGACAATTCTAAAATTCGGCAAAAAATATATAGAAAGTCAAACTAGAGATCTAAGTGATCCATCTGTAAACTTTATGAACAATGGTCAATCTGTTAGGAGACTGCAGAGGTTTTAAGTTCTAGACATACTAAATCAAATTATGTGTGTAAGTATTTATATTAGTACAATAGGTGGTTTTCGTAGAGGTTATCTGTCCTATATCTGTGATTGTTTTTGTTAAACAATTTGATTACTTTTATATGAAAACAGATTGCAAATAATAAAATATATAAAAAAAACTAGCACTCTCTTGGCTGATTGTTCTTATGACGTGTCATGTGAAATAACTGATAAATCAGTGTTATTAATTTATTACAAATATCTGTTGCAATTGAGACAATTGAACTGAAATAGGATTTAATTGAATGAGTTGTATGCACAACTTGAAGTTGTACTCATAAATATTCTACGAAAATATTAAAAAGCATGTTGTGCAATTAAAAAAAGTACAGCTTTTTGTTATGAATCAATAAAAATATGACGTCAGTTAAAATATTTAAATGCAAGTAAAGAAAATCCCTGGTGTGATCAGTTGACATTAATTAAATCGCTATTTGAACTGGCTTAAGATATACCCTACACCTCACAAAATAGAGTTTCATCTACATATATACTTTAAAAATATATCAATATTTATTTGTATCTAAAAATAATACAGTGGCTGACTAAACATTCAAGGGACCCGCAGCGAAAAGTTTTTGGGGACTCCAAGTTATATTATAAATTTGCTCTATTTATAGAGAGTTTAATTCCTATCTCTACATAAAAAACTAACTATATTGTGTGATATAACGGTAAGTAACACTGAAACTTCTTATATTTAATTTAGAACTTTACTTCGCTACTATTAGTAAGCTATAGTTGGGAAAGAATCTAGAATTTTGGTCAAAATATTGAAAATGACTTAAAGCCCCAACAGACCTTATACAAAATAAGATTCTGAAAGTAATAAGTAAAAGAGATGCAGCTTCTTTGTCCGTACATAATTGTATCTATTTAATGACCTAATAATGTAAATCACAAAATAATTATGAGTAATCATGTATTGTTTACTACTGTGGAAGTGAACGATGTAGGGTATGCAAGAAGTTTATAAAATCGAAAAGGAAACATAGAAATGGGTTTTTACTATAAACCATAAATGCAGGCTATCTACGCGTATCTATCTAATAGTGCTAATAAAAATCATTTAAATACAAATCACAAATTGAAATGTCTACTAAAAAGTGGAGTAAACATGCAAAAGTACTAGCAATTAACGAATGTCGGCGATGTTAGAGGGTGAGAGAGATGGGTTTGAGGCTTAGGTGAGGTCATTAACTGGTAATTCAATTAACGTATTTACAATACAACGCTCGAGGCAAGCATGTAAAGTAAGATTTGAAGTTAAGTTAGCGACGAACATTGGCAAAAATTTGAAGTAGGCGTTTCGCAAGTTTTTTTGAGAACCTCGGTTTGATGAGACTCGAAGTACGTGTATTCCCAATACAATAGGAATTTGTCTTAGAAAAACTTTTTTTAAATTGAAATTAAAATATTTTGGTCTGATGGCTTTAGCATTTTTTTAGATAAAAAGTGAAATTTTTATAAATATTCGAAAATGAAAGTTTATATGAAATTTAAAAACTATATGTTTTTATATTGAAATGCCATTGATATTAATGAATATTATGAATATTAATTATTTCTTTATTAGAAGGAAAATTGATACGTAGCCACTTATTAGATCTATTCTGTTATCCTTGAAGGAAGTCTTCATATCTATCTCAAATAGATTAAGACAAGTTACATACATTTCTACGATATCACTTATTACTCCCTCTGTGTCCACTTCAATTAGGATTTGAAATAAGGTATATATCCTCATTTTAGAAGAACAAATTTATTGAATATAAAATAAATATGTTAAATACAAAGAGTAGTGATATCGGTTTTGTGTCAATGTTCTTATAAAAGTTGACTACATAAATTTATTACGAATAGAAACCTGTCATTAAGGGGCCGTTTTATTAAAAGAAAGTAATCTGTTTCGCTAGTTTTAAAAGATATAATGGGTTACAAAAAATGGATATATATTACCATACAACATACTGTGTAAAAGATCTTAAAATTCTAGAGGGTTCATTCTTTTTTATAAGTTATATTACGGCTCTATGCTTATATATATATAAGTAAGAATGAAGT